AGGGTTGCGATCCGTTGCCGGTCACGAAAAAAGACAAAAAGGAAAAAAAAAAAAAAAAGAATTTTCTATCTGTCATATAATCTGTAAATAATGATGCCTTTACTTTCCAATATTTATAGCACTTTTTCCATTTTCTTGTATTAATGAGTTAGCCAAGACTGATCTAAACTATGTGGGATAAGAGTGGTGATAATGACCTTTACTTTCCTAAGACTAACTTTAATAGGATTAACTTTAGCTTGTTACTATTATGTTTTGTACGATTTTCTGTCATCTTGTTCAAGAAGTTTTCCCTAAGTTTTTTTTATCAGAATGACTACTGAATTTTATCAACAGCTTTCCACATTTGATAAATAATATGTTGACATAATCATGTGGCTTTTCTGTTTTAAGCCATTAGAGCTCTAAGGGTTTTCATTTTAAGCTCATACCAACTAACATACAGATACTTGTTGGAGTCATAACACTATATAGCTGTCAACAGCCATTTATATTTAGTCTGGCCCACTGATAGTGCGGAAATCAGGAGCATCATGAAGATTCATAGCAAGCAGAGAATCAAAAGCGCAGAAAGATTCAGACCAGAGAAGACCTGGCTGGCTCTTAGCCCACAGACTGAAGGGTCCTGTGTGAACAGACAACTGCACTTTTCCTTTGTGGACCCTGCTTATGCAGTTTGCTGCCTCAAACACCCTTCTGTCTCCTTTAATCTTGCTACCTCAGTCTCTGGTCATGGAAATTCTATTTTTTTGTTAATTTGGCAGCTGGTGGGTAAGGAGATATGAACACTTGACCTTGGTGTTACCAGCACCATGCTCTCCCAAGTGAGCTATTCTGGCCAGCCTATGCTTTTTTTCTTCTTTCTTTTTTTTTTTAAAAGATGACTAGTAAGGGGATCTTAACCCTTGACTTGGTGTTGTCAGCACCACGCTCACCCAGTGAGTCAACCGGCCATCCCTATGTGGGATGTGAACTCTTGGCCTTGGTGTTATCAGCACCGCACTCTCCCGAGTGAGCCACAGGGCCGGCCCAGCCTATCCTTTTTTAAGGCTCAATTTATTTATTTATTTATTTTTATTATTTTTTATTTTTTATTTATTTTTTTTTAAAAGATGACCGGTAAGGGGATCTTTACCCTTGACTTGGTTTTGTCAGCACCATGTTCACCCAGTGAGCCAACCGGCCATCCCTATATGGGATCCGAACCCGTGGCCTTGGTGTTAATATTTTTATTATTTTTTATTTTTTATTTATTTATTTTTAAAAGATGACCGGTAAGGGGATCTTTACCCTTGACTTGGTGTTGTCAGCACCATGTTCACCCAGTGAGCCAACCGGCCATCCCTATATGGGATCCGAACCCGTGGCCTTGGTGTTAACAGCACCGCACTCTCCTGAGTGAGCCACAGGCCGGCCCCAAGGCTCAATTTAAATACCAACTCCTAGGGACTGGCCCATGGCTCACTTGGGAGAGTATGGTGCTGGTAACACCAAGTCAAGGGTTAAGATCCCCTTACTGGTCATCTTTTAAAAAATAAATAAATATCACCTTCTCCTATCAAGTCTTCCCAGCAGTAATCATTTAATTCTCCCTTGTGGAACCTTTTCAGTATATGTGTATTTTATTTCCCTCTGTAGCCCCAGTGCCTGGCAGTGTAGCTGGCATACACTGGGTGCTCAATCAATACTGAATGAAGGACTGACAGATGAGAAGTGTACAGTCACTCTCTGGATGGCCCTTCCTACCCTGCCAGGGCTGGGGACACCTTTCCCGCCAAGGTCCTGCAGGGTGGATTCCGCCTCGGCAGAGGGCTCCCAGACCCCTCTCCAGTCCCGGAAGCAGGGCTGCTTGCCGTGGGAAGACTACACTTCCCAGTGATCTCAGGGAAAAGCGAAAACCCTTTGGCTTTGACAGCCGCCGCCACAAGTCTTTCCGCCTCCCCAGCCCGCCTGGGAGCAGAGAGCTGGGAACTGGATTATGGTGGCCTGAACAGCCAACGCAGCCGCAGGAGCCCAAAGCCCCTGGCCCTTCCCACGTCGCCGATCCATCAAGGGTACCAGGAAAGCAGCTGCTGCCTGTGATCTGCCATGCCCGCCCCTCCCAACCCCCCGAGGGGCCCAAGCCCGCTGCTGAGGCTGGCCACCGGCAGCCAGATGTAGCCGGCTTCTGGATCCCAGTCTCTCCCCTTCTCTCGTGCTCTGCGGATTTCTCCGGCCCGCTTTCCACGGCCTGGACCCGGGGACTGGCTGAGGGGCCTGCAGGCTCCGGAATCCTGATGCCTCCAAGCTCCCTCTCCTGAGAAGCCACCACCACCAGCACCCAAACTTGGGGGCAGTCAACAGAGACAGACGTGGGCCAGCACGAGCCCAGAGGGCCTGAAGGCCAGGGCCCACCATGGCCCATGCCCTGCCCTGGCTCCTGCTGTGGGTGGGCTCAGCAGTGCTGCCTGCCCTCAGCACTCAGCCCGGCATCCGGCTGCCCCTGCGCAGCGGCCTGGGGGGAGGGCCCCTGGGGCTGCGGCTGCCCCGGGAGACCGAGGAGGAGCCTGAGGAGCCCGGCCCAAGGGGCAGTTTTGTGGACATGGTGGATAACCTGAGGGGCAAGTCGGGTCAGGGCTACTACGTGGAGATGACCGTGGGCAGCCCTCCGCAGACGGTAAGGTGTTCAGGCCAGCCCTACCCCTCTTCCCTGCATGAGCAGAGGACAGGCAGGAGAGCAATGTAGCACGTCGGCACCCTGAAAACTGGGCTGGCTGGTGCAGCAAGGAGACCCTCCCAAACCATTGCTCTGGGGGCATGTTGTCCCCAAAGATCCCCTTTCCTACCTCCCTTCCCCTCAGATTCATCCCAATCCCCCTTGACTGACTGCCTCCCTCACTCTCAATCTGACACACAGACCCCCTCAGTAGGGATATGGGGCAAGAGAAGCACTTCAGTGGGGGAGCTTGACCTGGGGGAAGGTCCAGGCCACAGAGGCACTGTAACAGGTGTTAGCCCCCCGACACTGGCCAAGCCTGAGTCTCCCAAATTCCACCGCTCTGGATGTTGGCTGCCCAAACCCTCTCCCTACTCTGATGTTCCAAGGAATCTGAGGTTCCAGCATGCATGTTCCCAGCACCTTGAGGACCAAGGAATCCTGGCACCAGTTGGATCCACCCCTTTCTCCCACTATCTGGGCTGTCAGAGGGACAGCAAAATGAGGTGGCTGAGGCCCCCCTGGCCTCCGCTCAATCCAGAAGTCCTGGGTACGCTCTCACTATCTTCCAGTCCGTCCACAGTTGGATCCACCCCTTTCTCCCACTATCTGGGCTGTCAGAGGGACAGCAAAATGAGGTGGCTGAGGCCCCCTGGCCTCCGCTCAATCCAGAAGTCCTGGGTACGCTCTCACTATCTTCCAGTCCGTCCCTGCTCCTCCCCCACTCTAACTCCTCCCCCACCCCATGCCTCTGAGCGCAGGCCACTTGGGAACTGAACTAAGGCTAGGAAAGGACAAATTGTTGGAAAGGCACAAGAGTCCCCTTCTCAGAATGGGCTCCTTCCATGGTGGGAGAGAGGGGAGGCAACACAGCCATGGAGAAAACACTGCCCATCCTCCCCATCCTTCCTGACAATCTCCAAGGCACCTCCAAGGTAGGTAGCTGCTGGAGGTTGTGCCTTCTGCGCCTCTGTGGGTGGCTGTGGGCGTGTAGGCGTGAGCAGCCATCCAGGTGGGGTGCTGTGGCTGACCTCTGTGTGCATCTCTGGGGGTGAGTCTGTCACAGCGGCAGTATGGTTCTGTATATGCTGGTGTGTGTCACCTTGAACCTGATCCTGCACATCTCTGTGAGATGCCCCCAGTCTGTGTCTGGGAAGCTTGTCCTTGGGAGGGTCTGTGAAGGTGGGAGTGTGCTGGGGGGCAGGGTGGAGAAGACAGCCACACTTCCCTGAACCTCCCAATTACCTGACAGAAGTCAGCCTTGTACTAGTCACTTCTACTCTTTCACTTCCACTTTAAGCTCTTTATGGGCAGAAAACATGTCTTCTATTTGTGGATTTGCCCCCAAACCCCAGCAATTAATTGCCTAGTGCTCCCCACATTTCACTTTTACTTGTTCAGAGTACTCTGCCATCCAAGTTTTTGTTTGGTGCTTACAACAGCCTCACCAGGTAGGGAGAAAGGGCGTCCTTCTCACAGACTTCTGGGGAGAGAATCAAAGTCACAGAGCAGAGACTGTCTGGCATAGGCTCAGGGTAGCAGCCATAGTGCAATCTGCAGAGTCGCTCTGACTGTGGGCTCCCTAGCACTGGCTCCTTTGGCTGGTGTTGAACTTTAAGCCCACTTTCCTCTTCTAGAAAGGAGGGGGAAGGAGCTGACATATGTTGGGTAACTACTCTCTGCCAAGTGCTCGGCTGGGGATGTACATGTTATCTCGGGGGATCAGGGAAACACAGTAACTGGTCCCCAAGTTCTACACATGTAAAACCAGAGGCCCAGGACACCTAAATTTTTACGCCTCCTTGCATAGCACAGAAGAGGCCGAAGGGGCCAGACAAGGAGAAAGTGACTTCATGTTTATAGGAGGTCAATGCCCAGGTACATTATTTTAGGTGCTTTTACCTATACCATCTTATGTAACCTTCACGATTACCTTGCAAAGGAAATCTCATTTCGCTCATTTTATTTATTTTATTTTATTTTTTCTTTCTTTTTTTTTTTTTTTTTAAAGATGACCGGTAAGGGGATCTTAACCCTTGACTTGGTGTTGTCAGCACCATGTTCACCCAGTGAGCTAACCGGCCATCCCTATATGGGATCCGAACCCGTGGCCTTGGTGTTATCAGCACCACGCTCTCCCGAGTGAGCCACGGGCCGGCCCCATTTCACTCATTTTAAAGACAAGGCAGCAGTCTTAGATAGGTTGTGTAACTCGCCCAAGGCCGCACAGCTGGGAGAAGGAAAAGTTGCCGATAGTAAAGTAGGGTTTCCTGGTCTGTCTGACTACAAAGCCCTTGTTGGTTCCACAACTCTATCCTGCCTCGTGTCATAGGGTCTGCAACATGAAGATTTGCACAGCACGTCAGCAGTAGAAACAGGAGTAGGTCCCAGGTTTCTCCATCCTCCCTGCTCTCTGACAGTACTTAGAGTTCTATTTGCTCAGGCTGCTTGGGGCCTGGATCCAAGCTCTGTCCTGTGTGAAAGACACACTGAGATTCAAGATTTGAGACTGCTTCTGGAGAAGTTATGGTGCACAGGAAAGAGGAGGGGAAAATGGGGGAGATCAGGGCCCTGGATTACTCAAGAGGTAGACATGGGTGGCATGACTATGGCTCATACCCTGAGCCTACGCCAGCCAGTCTCTGCTCTGTGGTGACTTTGATTCTCTCCCCAGCAGTCTGTAAGAACGATGCCCTTTCTCCCTACCTGGTGGGACTATGAAATTTGGGGAGCACTTTCTATGAGCTAGGCAATTAATTGCTGGGACTTGGGGGCTGATCCACAGACAGAAGACATGTTTTCTGCTCCTAAGAAGCTTATAGTGGAAATGACTAGCACAAGGTCATCCCTGTCAGTGGTACTCAAAGTGATGTCCATAGACCTTTGTCCTTGGAGCCTGCTAAAAATGTAAATTCTCTGGCCTCACCATAGACCTACTGAGTCAGAATCTCTGGGGGAAGGGCCCAGCAGTTTGTGTCCCAAGTTCGAGAAATACTGATCTATAGGAGTACAAAGAATGAGTGTTATAGGTGTTCAGAAGATGATAAATTAATCAGAGAAGGCTTCTCAGAGGAGATGTGTCCCACACATAGTCTTTTTTTTTTTCGTCCTTTTTTTTTTGAGACCGGCCGCACCGCGCTCAGCCAATGAGCTGAGCGCTGTGGGCGCACTGGTCATCCCTATATAGGATCCGAACCCGCCGCGGGAGTGCTCCTGCGCTCCCAGCGCCGCACCCTCCCGAGTGCGCCACGGGCTCGGCCCCCACACATAGTCTTGAAGAATGGATAGGAGTGGGAGGTCATTCCCAGAGGGGAAATGACACCTGTCCCACTATATTGTAATTGCACCTTACTTGTATGTCCATGTCTGCTCCTTCCAACCCTGCCCCTTAGACTGGGGCAAAGGAGTTATGTGTGTTTGGGCTTGTGCATGTTTGTTCAGGAAACAGGAGAAAGCCAGTCCAGTTAATATTACAGATTTGTGCTAAGATCTGATAAGTTTGGGTAAATAAGAGCCTAATTGCCAAAAGCTTTAAATACCAAGCTATAAGATTTGGACTTTCGTCTTCAGATAGGACAAAATTGAATTTATTTGTGGAGGGGAATGACATAAAGAAAGCAATCTTTTAGAAAGAGACATGTGAATTTTAGAAAGAACGAAACTGAGATACAGGTGGCAGGGGCTCGATCACAACAGTCCAGGTGTGAGGCACTATGACAAGGGCGGCAGCCAGTCTGTGATGAGATGGAAAGGGAAAGGAAGACCAGGATGCGAGGAACAGGACAAGGCAGATGCACAGGACGTGGTGACATTTGTGTGAAGAGTGAAGAAGAAAGCATCAGAGATGATTCTGAGATTCTGATCTGGGGGGAATTGGAGGATAACAAGACCATTTGTGGGAACAGGAAAGTTGGCAGGAGGGATGGTTTAGTAGTACTAGTATACAAATATTGATATATACTTGTATTTATTATTGAACTATATATAAAGTTTCTTTTATACATTCCACATATATTATTTTGTTCTTTATGGCAATTCCTGCAATATATATGAAAGGTGTTTATCGCTCACACCTTTTTTTTTTTTTTTTTAAAGATGACCGGTAAGGGGATCTTAACCCTCGACTTGGTGTTGTCAGCACCACGCTCAGCCAGTGAGCGAACCGGCCATCCCTATATGGGATCCGAACCCGTGGCCTTGGTGTTATCAGCACCACACTCTCCCAAGTGAGCCACAGGCCGGCCCCTATCACTCACAACTTCTAGCAGAAGAAATGGGGACTGAAAGTTTAAACAGTTGGCCAGGTGGCAGGCCAGTAAGCTGAGACCCTCCCTCACCCTTATTCTTCTTACTATACCATTTGTCTTCGGAGAGAAGAAGAAAGAATTTATCATGAGCATTACTCTTCCATTGTCCCATAACATCTGCAGATATCCTTCTTACTGCCTTATCATAATGTATTATCACTTTTTGTGTTTGTTTCCCTCATGAAACTCCAAGATCTTGCAAACAATTTCTTTTTAATTTTCTTTGTTTCTTATTTCCCTTTATATTCTAATATCTATAACAGTGCCAGGCTCAGAATATGCACCTAAAAAATGTTGAGTGAATGAATAAATAAGCTGCAAGACATCTAAATAGAACTGTTGATGGGCAGTTGTAAATGTAAACCAGACCTCTTGGAGAAAGCATTTTTATTCTTTTCACTTAAATGAAAGGATGTCATTTCATTATGGTAGTATGAGCAACACTGACCAAACACAGAATAATAATTTAAGTGAAATTTAGTGATAGTCAATTCAGTTTAACAAATATTTATTGAGCACCTATTGTGTGTAGAAGAGAAATATAAAGTCATCGTCTTAGCCCTGGGAGAGCTCACAATTTGGTGTGAGACACAGACAAAACACCTAAATATCATAAAAACAAAATGCATTTGGTGCAAATAGAATAGTGGGTCT